AGCCAGGTGACAAAAAAAAATCAGTTGATCACAGTAATAGCACCATTTAATCTGATGTAAGAAATTAAACCAGGCATGTCCAAAGTCGGTCCTTGAGGGCCGCTTTCCAGCAGGTTTGTTTCTTGGTTTCAGCACAGCTGATTCTGCTGATTGCAGTTCAGAAGAAGCCCGCTAATCAGATATCAATGGAAATCAGCTGCGTTAAAGCTGGGAAACTTCAGAAAGCTGCAGGACATCAGCCCTCGAGGATCGACTTTGGACATGCCTCTACTGTTCCCTGAACCGAATTGAATTAAGTACAACATCCCTGCTGGATTAATACAAGAATTAGTACACTCATCTAGTCTCCTTGAGTCTTTTTGTCATTAGAAATACAAGAGGAATTTTTAAGTAGAAAGTGATGACAAATTGAATAAATTAAAAGAACCGCTCGGTTTTCTGTTGTGTTTAAAGACACTCTAGTCAGCTAATAAAGGACACTTAATAAAATTGCTACTTTTTCAGATTTTGTAGTAAATTAGACAAAAACACTTGCTTTGCCATCTTATGTGCCATTTACCATTAGATTTGACAACTTGTCAGGGTGTCTTAAAATATATGAAAGGTGGAAAAAGATCTAAAAAAAAAAAAAAAAAAACATTACCTGTATAGATAAAGAATGTAGAGGCCAATAATAATTAGATAAATGTTGCCATTACATCTTTATAATACAGTTTTCAATAAAGAAATCTGAATCACCCCAAATAATTCAAAAGTGGCCTAAAAAAAAAGTTTTTTAATTAACATTAATATTTTTAATTTTGTGGGCCAGGTGGCCTGCAAACCAGAATTGGTAAAACTCTGTTATTAGGAAGAATGGGATGAAATTCCTGTTTAATATCTTAGTTTTGCTTGGGGCAAACAGGAATAATTTGGCAAACCTAACTGGCTATCAACAGAAATTGTACATAGAAAACATTCACTCAGGTAACCTGCTCTTAATTTCCTAAACAGAGGTGTACTGTGAGAATTTTCAACTGGTCGGGTTTTTAATCCCTTCATTAGAAAGTGGCTCCCATTTTCTCACCATCCATCCATTTGTTGCTCCTGATTTATGATGTATTGCTCTTCAGTTTTCTGTCTTGTCAAGACCTTGAGCGATGATCCAATCATGAATAAATGCATATGGGGCTGGACATCCAGCTCACGTGTCAGGCATATTATGTGTCGCTGCCTGCAGGCCCTGTCGCTGAGAATGGATTTGGTGCCAGCACAACACACTAGTACTGCAATATTTAAACATTAGATCATTACCACATTTACTGTAAAATTACACATGCTCGCTCTGTTTTAACCTCATTATGGTTGTGTGTCGATTTGCAAGCATACATGAGCAAGTTTGCCTTTACCCCAGAAGGCTTGTCCTATATGTACATGTTCTTGTCTTATATGCACATAATTTGTCGTTTTTTATTATCATTTTATTGTGTTTGGTTTGTGTTCACAGCTGCTATGCCTTCGTCGTGGTCTTTTAAAAACCCTTAATCATTCCCATGCCTTTGCAACTCACGTTGATGCCAATACAGTGAAATTGAAAGCATTATGTTGAATCAACTGCAGTAATGCAAAGAGGGAAATTGGCCTTGCTGGCTGTTCTTTCTGCTGTTACATAACAGGCTGCCTGTTGTTTCTTTAGTTTTAGTTTGAAAAGAAGGCATGGAAGTTTTCTCCACAATTCATGATGTGTCAAGGAACATTTTAAAGTCACACAAAGGTGTAAATATTCAGTTCTGTAATGATTCAATGTCAATTTATACTACTTAATCAGACTATTCAATATACCCTGAATTAGACTACTGCCTCTGCAACCCCGGCCCCGGATAAAATGGGAAAAAAAGTTATAACAAACAAAACAATTGGACACAAAAAATCACAAAAGTTGCACAAATGAAACATACCTCAACAGGCTTTAAAGGTGACACCTTCTTAATTCACATTCAGAAAGTGAAACTTCTTTCTCTACTTACCGTCACCCATCACAATACTACTGCCATTTTAAACTGTTGGCGTGATGTTGTTTTAAGGAATGCTGTGTGTTTTCCATAAGATGTACCAAAGATACACATTTCACTGGTGTTGTTTTTTAGGAAACATTAGACCACTGTGTTTGACTTGGAACTAAAATAGCATTTTTATTCACTCAGTTTCTCTTATAGTTGAATCACAAATGGAAATTAGCTTTATCTGAGCCAGGTATGTTCATGATGTCTTTCTGGATTCTCCTGTGACCTCGAGTCCTGGATTATGCTGATTAGAGTGATATTGTGTAGTGAGCCACTTCTGGGAAGGCTCCCTGTTTTTCATTTTTTCCTCTATTTGTGGATAATAGCTCTCAGTAGGTCTGCAAAACATGTGGGCAAATTTATCATTATTGCACTTTTCATGTAAGTAATATCATATTTTTCATTTAAAGCGGAAATGAAACAAGCAACCAAACAAACTTAATTGAGATAATTCTATGGGTAAACTTCCCACAGCTCCAGTCACACTCCAAATGGACTCCAAAGCATAGGCAATGGGATTTTAAGTGTTCGGGTATTTAAGTGATTTAAAGGTGCAGTAGGAGACCTTTTCTGAATGCATTTTTTACCATGTGGCTTAAAGATCTCCCCACAGCCGCTTGGCAAGCAGTGAATTAGAAGGTCTGGAAGTGAAACTAAAATAAATGGTCCCCAATACAGTGAGAAATCAATGAATAACCCCAACCAATCACAGAAGACGGTCCGTTGTCAACGACTGGTTCCTGACACGTTAATCACAGTCGTCTGTTTGTCCCTTACCCCTGTGCGCTTACATGGACACATGAACAAATCCACCCCCCAATGCTCATGCAGGACGCCATGGAACTGACCTCAGCAGAGAGCCATGCTGCCCATCCTCAGCTGGAGGAAGGGGGCTGGGGAGCAGTAAGGAAGGCGGGGGGGAAGCACGGTGACGCAGGTGTCCAGACAACTGTCACCGGTTCAGGTTCGGTCTCTCTATCCCCCGCTGGCTCCCTGTTTCGACTACATGCTGCATTGTAGTCGACCAAAATCCCGGTTGCTGCTCTGGCTGCGTGGTGGAAAAAGTGGGTCTGATGCGTGTTGGGCGGAGCTACCCTATCCTTTCTTTGCATGTAACAATGGCAGCTATATTTGCTGTGATCAGTGGGTAAAAGATAGTTTGGATCTATTTTAAAGTGAGAAAGTCCACCTGAAAACATCGTCAGTGCAGTCAGTTCATCCAGATTACCATCCTGCCTTCAAATATTATTTCTGTCAGAGCCGGCGGTGCTCTGTCACTAGGAATCCCATTCAACAGCAGCCTCTGGCCCGGTCGCCTCCGCCATGGCAAACCGTGAGGAGTCTGGAGGGCGTTTTTCATGTACGTAATGCAAACTGCCGGCACTAGGATAATAAAAGCAAGCATGTATGCCGGCAGATTTCGACATTTTAAGTTGATTTAGGCGTTAATAAACCGATCATAGTGTGATCATAGCGCTCTGCATCACCAGTGCTGCTCCTGTTGCTCTAGTCACGTCGTAGACAGCATGCACGTTCATGTGTTTTGAAGGCGTGGTTTCGAGGGGTGGTGTGAAGGGAGAGGCATGGTTGTGTATGTTCAAAAATATAGTTCGCTGGAAGCGTTTTTCCAAGATCCCCTACAGCACCTTTAAGGTTGTTGGGTATAGCTTGTATTACCAATGTAGAATCAACCAAATCTGGGATGTCAGCACTTAGACTGCAACATGGCCGCTCCCTTGCCCAAAATATATAAGCAACTGTTTATTTTTATTTTTCACATTTGTAATATAATTACTGATAATGGTAAGGGTAAAACTCCTAAATGAAGTAAGTTTAGTAGACCGTTTCAATTCCGCTATAATCCCTTTATCAATTTTTTAGATAAAGTAAAATTGTTCAGGAAGTAAAATTGATATTTAAGTAGTCAATTCATTTAGAAACTACAAATGAGTGTCTTAAACATGTTTAAATAGAAATAATGAACAAACTTATATCTTTGAGAGTAGTTGCATAAAAAAATCACAAACACCAGGTGTTGTTGGCTTTTAAGCCAGACAGAAAGATAGTAAAAAAGATAAAAAAAAAAGTTTAATTATTAACTTATTTATAGCAAGTCCTACCAGTGTTTTATTATTTCATATTATGTGGTTGCTTGATATGCAGCTGAAGCTCCAATGGACTGCTTTAAGTTTAAGCCTTAAGGATGACTTTTTAACATTTTCAAAGCTCATAAATTTCAATCATTTTTGTCTCTCAAAAAATGTTTAGATTTTGGAAAGTGTTGAATTTTACACCTTTTCTTCTTTGTTTTGTGGCAATGGTTCTGCTTAAAGGGCTTACTTATTTAGTTCTCCTGGCCTGGATTTGGTCACTGAACTACACCCCTCAATAGCTATTATTGGAAACTGGCAACAAGCATTATGTATTACTCAAATAGTAACATAGTTTATGCATTCTCAGTTATTTCACTGTTGATGTGGATCTAACTGGCAAGTTCTTTTGGTAAAAATATCTGTGATTTTATTTTTTCCAGAGCCATAGGTGGAGTAAAGTTTAAGTGTTGTCGAATAAGTCATTCCTGTTTGTATGCCCAATATGAACTACACAACCTTAGAAAAGTGGTCTTAATTCTATGGATATTTTATACTTCTTTGAACTGGACACCATGTGCAAGAACCCCAGGAGGCAAAAGGACACAAACATGAAGAAATCTAAAACAGCCTCATCAGACTCCACCAAATTACTGCCAAAGCTGCTTTTATTAAACTCCTTAGGTGGCCATAATTGCTGAATAAGTTTCTGAGGAGTATCTGAACCTGATGATCTTGTCTGAATGTGTCTATGTTCCAAGAAGAGCCCCCTGAACTGGATCTCTTTGTACAAATATTAATATATATCACATTTAGTCATTTATATGCTGCTTATATTCATACATTACCATTTGTCTTATCTTTGTAGGAGATCCATCCACATCCTGCCATGAAGGAGCCTTATGGTTGTAATCTTGCAGAGTGTCCTGCAGAGGAAGATTTGCTCATCTATGAAAGGTAAAGGTTGCTGCTTTAAACTAAAATTACAGACCCTTCCCCTCCTTTAGTAAATTGTTTAGCTCAAAGACAAGTTTTGTCATTTAGAAAAAGCAGTTCAAAATTGATTTAGAGAAATTCTGCTGATGGATGGTGAAGATTTTTCTTAATTAGAATTAAAAACACGATAACCTTGCATTCAAATATCAGGAAATGAAAAGGAAGTTGTTTTTTTAAGCTTGTAAAAAAAGTTTTGGGTTTGATAAGTGGGCTAACTATGCCTGATTTTTATTGTCGTTTGAGCAGAAAGGATTATTTCAGTACAGTAGAACTAATATACACAAAATAAAAAAATAAACCTAGAAAACACTGCGCCACTGTACCGGTCTGTTGTGGTGAAGAAAAAGCGGAGCCAAAAAGCAAAGTACTAGATTTACTGGTTCCTACTCTACTATGATCATGAGCTTTGGGTCATGACCGAAAGAACGAGATCCCGGATACAAATGGCTGAAATGAGTTTTCTCCGTAGTGTGTCTGGGCTCTCCCTTAGAGATAGGGTGAGCATTTCAGTCATCGGGGAGCGACTCAGAGTAGCTCCTACTGCTCCTCCACGTCGAAAGGAGCCAGTTGAGGTGGCCTCGGGCATCTGATTACGATGCCTCCTGGAGGTCTCCCTGTTGAGGTGTTCCAGGCACGTCCCACAGGGCGGAGGATCGGGAGAGACCCAGGACACGCTAGAGGGACATTGTTTCTCGGCTGGCCTGGGAGCGCCTTGGGATTCCCCCTGAGGATCTGGCCCAAGTGGCTGGGGAGAGGGACGTCTGGGCCTCCCTACTGAAGCTTCTACCCCCGCGACCCGACCCCAGATATGCGGAAGAGGATGGATGCATGGATGGATGGATGGACAAACTAGAAAACTAAATTTACAACCAAAACTTTTGGTAGTTGTGTTCCATCGGGCTCCCAATTATGGATAAAACATGAACACGAGTTCTTACAACTGTTTTGAGCGTGCACCAAACTTCTAAAGTCAGACATCAGTGGTTATGATAGCAGCAGGTATAGACCATCACAAAAGTTAAAGTGGTACTGGACATGCCGACCTCATGTCCAAGCTTTAACCTCCTCACATCCCCACTTGCCATGTTATTAATTGTAATACCCTGGGCAGTTCTGCTTCTGCATGCCTCACCTTTTGCCACGGCTTCAGCGCCGACTGATCAATGGAGGCAGAATGTGCAATCTATCCTTCCCATTCCAATGATGACAAAGCCACTCTTTAACCCATTTAGGCCTAAAACGCCTGGAAAAAACACCTTAAAAACCTATGGCCGATTTTAAAAAATACCCCTAAAACCTGAAGTTTTTCTGTAAATTCAGCAACTGTGTCAACGCCTAAATTATTGATATCTCAGCTTCTGTAGCAGATAGAACTCAAAATATATTTTATCTTTGAAATTCTTCCAAAAAAAAAATGTGAAAAGCAGTAATCAAAAAAAAAAAAATTCAACCTTTTATTTTTTCCATATGTGATCATGTCTTCATTGAGAATGTGCAATATAAAACGTTTTCAAAATAAAGAACAAACATTACATAAATAACTATCTGATGATTACTTATTAACAGTATTATTATGCATAATAATGCATATGTCTGTGTTATAAATTGCATACAACCTACCTCCAGATGGCCACAAATCTGTCCCGGGACATATTTTGGGGGAACTGCGTCCTGAAGAGAGGTTTACATACACAGCCCAATAAATGTCTTCATCTCCGTCACAGTCACGGGTGACCACTTTGCCATCTTTGCTCTTGTTGGAGTTTGGTTTGTTTGGTCACTGTACCTATTCGTCTCGGTAACTAGATGCATCCAAAGTTCTTCATTAAAAATATGCTCAAATGCCTGCAGCGGTGTGGCGTCTGCAGGCAAATCAACTTTCACTCCAGGTGTGCGGTTGAAAACACTCCGTGCATTGCGGTGGTAGTTCGATTGGTTCAGCGCGTTCAAAGTCATCATTTTCATCTATACCGTCATCAAAGCCGACACACTCCTCAAAATCACTGCCTTCCGACAACTCTTCTCTGTCAAACTCCTCCATGTTTGCTTGAAAAAAACTTCTTTCTTCTTGCTTGACTTATATGCTCTCCCGGCGTCAATGGTAGAATGACGCAACAGCGCCCCCGGCTTGAATGGTAGAAATGCGGTAATGCTTTCCCGGCCTAAATGGGTTAACTGCTTAGACAATGGATTATCTATGCACTGCACTGTCTTTGTATTAACAGCAGTACATACCTCTGAATGGTGCAGAAGCTTGGCTGGGCTCTCAGATGTCAGGTAGCTGTTAATGTTTCCTGCCATTATGTTTAAGAACCTAATGAGGTTGATAGTGATATACTTTTATCTTTTCTAAATAGTATTGAACTATGGAGAAAAGAAAATGCCGGTTCCACCAGTTTAGCCTATATTTTTGCAATTCACTGATATTCCAAAGTTTAGAGGAAGTGAGGACATCAGGTTTTCTGACCATTACAAATGATTGTTTACTTACTGACCTAAATAATTAACTTATGTCTGGATAGAAGGTTCAGCAGGATTTTCAAAAGGTCTTATTATTAATCTTTAAGTCCCCACGACAGCTAAGGGCAAAACTAACAGTCAGTTACAATCCCCTCAGGATGGAAATAATCAATTTTGATAAATGGATGTGGTCAGATCTGCCCGGCTCAGTGCATCACACTCCTGACCCAAATGTTCTTTATCCGCCATTGTCCCCTCATTCACTCTTCTACATGTTCTCTCTGTTGCATCTTATCCTTTCTCCCTGATTGCACCCAGCAGTGATGATAAATAGACCTCCACAGGCTCTGAAATTGAACATAACTATCTGTTCCTTGGAAGCAAACTGAATGTTTGATGATAGCTTTAATTATGTCTTTTTTGTCTGTGATGCCCTTTGAAGACTGAACTGTTAAATTAGTGATATATCATAAAATAAATACTGCCATATAAAGAAAAACCCAAAGGAGATGTGTGGGTTTTTTAGCTGTTGTATTTATACTCTTAGAAACCCAACTTAGTTCCCCTTAAATGGTGAAAGAATTGTAAGGTAAATGCGTTTTCTGGATGATTCAGTGGATTGCTCCCATCAGAGCTCGGTGAAAGCCAAACAGCTTTTGGCGGAGTAAGCCTTGAAGGATACAGTGGGAGATATGGGGCACCACAGGATGCTTTGTTCTCTAATACGTACATATTGCACACATTGCATCCCCTCACACTCTGTGTTTTACCCTCCAGACACTGTCAGAGCTTTTTATTTTCCTTCTCACCTGGCTTTTATTGCAGACATGGTTGTGGTTGGAGTGAGTGCAGTAAATCCAAATTGCAGTGAAGAATGATATTCATATCCCTTGACCATAGCGGCTCATAATAAGAATAAAATTGCATTCATTATTGTAACTGGAAGTCACAACAGCCCTAAAGATGTTAGTGAGAGCCAGAGCTCCACTAATCAGTGTAATAATAAGAAAGGTCATACGCAAGAACAAGAAAAACCCCTTTTCTGTCAGACATTATTGTCTTCCAGATTGGAAAAGTTACCATTAGGGAAAATCTGGTAAGTAATTAGAAAAGGAGGGTTCCAAATAGATGAAGTTTGGTAGGAATTTAATATGAAACCGAAGTGTTGTTTGAAAACAATTTTAATTTTGGCTTATTTTAGAGGACCTTTTTTTATTAGTTTCTTTTTTTCTTCTTCTTTTCGTTTGCAGGTTTGCCCGTCTTGGCGAGAACCAGCACACAGTTGAGAAAACGGAACAAATAAACTCGGCTAACATCATTTGCTTGTAAGTAAAACATGGACCAATAAAAGCTGCTAACATTGCCCCCCCCAAAAATTTCTAAATCATCCTGTAAAATGCATACCTAAATTAAAAAAGATGCTGCTTAGTGGCGGTTTAACATGTTTTCACTGTCCCTAGTTTATTTCATAAAAAGGTACTTTTCTGGTAAATAAGCTGAATGATCCTGTAGTTAATATTCTGTATTTCTGTGGGGATGTACAGTACAGGCATTTTCTTGCTTAAAATACTAATACTGTTGTGATTGGGGCTGGAGAGACAAAAGGGCAAATAATAATAAAAAACTAAACTAACAGAAAAGAACCTGGCAGCCATTTTGGTTTAGTAATGTACAAAAACAATATTTCATAGAAGATTTTGAGGTTCTGATCTTCCTCATAAAAAGGGTTAAAAGGTAGTGATCAGCACAATTGCCAATGTTAAACATAAGAGAATTAAAGCCTTTATGTGTGAACTGTCTTTAGAGTTACTGTAATATGATTAGAGATCATTCTGGTTGTATGCTCTCAAACACTTCATCTTCTGATTTGTCTCGACCCTGTAATATCTGTATAGATGCACACACATAATATGAAAACCCATAAATCATTTTAAGATATCCCTTAGTTTCCATTAAGATGGTCACATCAAACGTAAGTAATTTTAGCGTCAATCCGTAATCCCTTTTTAATAACTTATTTTTTACAGATTTAATAAACAAATGTTCATTCTAACAAAAAGAATTAGAAGACACCAAATGCACCTTTAGCTCCTTTGACTGAAATAGATGAAGTGAAACGCTTCTGTTAACCATCTATATATCAGTTCATGTATGGGCTATGAGGTGGAGTAGAGCCGGACAAATAAAAAGCAGATGGAAAAGTGGATAGAGTTTCCACTGATGCTTTTTTCACCAGCCGTAACGGCTTTTTTCTGCCTTATTATAGCTATGAATACATGATCTACAAATGTCACGTTCTTATGTAAAGCCACACCTGATCCAGGAACACCATGAGGAGAGTCTTCTTGCCTCCTCCTTTCTTTTATAAGACATTCATTTATTTTTTAGCAGAGTTTGGCACCACCTCAGGCTGTCAAAAGGGTTCATTGACTGTTAAAAATCCCTGACCATAAACCGATGAAGAATCTCTGAAGAAGAGATTGAAGTCGTTAACCCTGGGCTTCTTTAAAAGCTCAGTAGAGCCACGTTGCACTGATGCAGTCATTTGTGAAAAAGGAGCCCCAACCAAGTATTGCGTAAATCTAAGTTCCAGTTTGCAAAAAAAATGTATGTGAAAGAACATTTTTTTTAATTACTGCTAGGTTATATTCAAATTGTGTTATAAAATGAAGTTTGAATACAGAAAACTACATATTTGAATAAATAGTTGGTTTGAATTTGATTACTGGAATAAAACCTTTTTATTACCATAGTTTATTGAGATCCACATGGAAACTCACATACAGACAGGTGTATGTGCTGGTAACCAAACTGTCATGTTAGTTTTTTTGTCGTGGAGAATACATTTGAAATACTTATTCTCCCATCCCCCCCACACACAAACACAAGTCTTCTTGGAAGAACAACAACTCTAGAAAGGCTCCTGCAAGGTTGCTGCCTGTGCGTTCTTACTGTACTTTCTTTATTTCTTTCATCCAATGCTATTCTCTCTCTTGTTGCACGTGTGATTTCAATGTGCAGCCATAGAAAAACACTTTCTTTTGATCTTCAAGACTGATATGTTTTCATAAAAAAAAAGTATAGCTTCTGTGTCAACTTCCAGTTTCAAAACAGAACATCTGTACTTTTTTTCAGCTCAATTGAAAACCTGAATGTTTTTCTTCAAGAAGACATTTTCAATCAATCCTTACAAGAAAACTGTATATTTTTTATTATGTTTAAATGATTTCCCTCTAATTTATTAAAGTAGAAACATCTAACTCTGTGTTTTGTAAATCAGCTGATCAATCAATAAATTGTGTGTTTATTAGTGGCAGAATTGTTCTAAAACAGATTAAGTGAATTTAAACCTATGGTTTTGCAAAAGGGCTCTGAATTCTTTGCTGTATTTAGTAGGCAAAGCCAACAGATGAGTCACAACTTGACTACCTAATATTTATTTCCTGACCTTGTTGAAATCTCAGAGGGAGACAATTTAGATTTGGCAGCTGTATAATTCTACCGAAGCAGAGGTTTCAGCTTTGTCTCCTTGGCTGCTGAAACAGCTGAGTGTTTTTTAAGCTAGTGCCACTCTAAGAAGCAGTAGCAACATGAAAACTGTTTACCTACCTTTGGAACCATCTGTGTCATCTGTTTAAAACAATAAACTTCATTAAAATGTATTAATGTTTTACCTCATGCACAAAAAGAAAGGCTTAACTGTGAAGTGAATTATATAGTTTAAACAAAGAAAAATACTAGAAAGCGAGGAGACCTGTATGCCTCATTATTCTGCAACCCCTAAAAGAAAGGGGTAGAAATGAAGCCTGTGTTTGTGTATTATTGTTTGTGCATGTAGACATGTAGACTTTTTTTCAGTTAGATTAAGCTGAAAAAAGGGAGTTTTCCTCTCCACTGTCGCTACAAGCATGCTTATTGTGAGGGATTGCCTTTGAGTCAATGAGTCGATGCAATCAACTAGTTTTCCTTAGATAGAAAACTTTGAATCAGTTTGACTGTATGATCTGGTTGAATTGTCCCTGCAAATTGCCTTGATATGACGTGTTGTAAACTGGCGCTATATAAATAAACTGAATTGAAACTGAATTAAATTAACAAAAACATTTGATTTTAATTGACAGTATTTCACCTGACTTTTCAAAAAATATTGCAAAAAGCATATCTTATTATTTTTCACAGTTGATAGCGTATGAATACTTTTCTAAGTTGCTGTGTTGTTGTAGTATTGCTGTTTTTCTGATGGGAATACTACCAGCTTCACTTATAAACATGGGTATCAATTTCTCAATAGCGACAACCACAACTTGGCTTTTGGATGTGCAATAATTTAATCACCTTGTACATTTCAGAGCAGGTTAAACAAAATAGAAAAGAGGCAGATGTTCTGGATATTCAACATTTAAAAAAGAACTTTAACAGGAATACATAAAAGAAATTCACATGGCAGTCTTTTTTATATATATATATATATATATATATATATATATATATATATATATATATATATATATATATATATATCTGTGCTGCACTTCTACGTTGCTTTATGAGTATAAATGCCGCTCGTGTACTGTAGAAGCACGTTTATGCACATAGTAGGAGTTAACCCTGAAAGACGAAGGTTTTCCAGACATCTCTGAGTAAATCTGTTGAAGTCAGAGGTTGATGTATTCATAAATTGTTGAAAGGCCAGGTCAATTTAAAAATTTTTTTTTATAATTGAATGTTTTTATGTGCATTGTTTGACTTCCTAAAGACTTGAACACGTGTGGTTAGGAAAAGCATTGATGCTGATCTGCAGATTGCTTAATAATATCATCTTTTAGTTATCAGAAAGATCAAGGGTAAAGAAAAATATAAACTGAATCTACTGGAGATGATTTCAATATGTCCTTTTAGCCTCTTTGATGCATCTTTTCAAAAAGCAAGTTTTGAGTAAGAAGCAGGTTTCAAAGCCCCTTTCTCCCAACCCCCCAGCCCCACCCACCCCCCTCCAGCCTTGCAGCTTCCATCGGCAGTCCCCTTGTCAGGTCCACAGGTTGTGACAGGTGTGCTGGTTGTTGCGCAACAGAGCTATTCTAAGTTGTTATAGAACCACGAACGTGTGGCTCCTGTTAGGGGCCCGTTATTCATTCACCTCCCTCTGTGCAGTTCCTCTATTGATCCATCAGGAATAGGCAACGCTGACTCAATTGATGGAGATAAAAGTGGAAATGATATGAATGTTGTGGCCAATTCCTGTCGAGATGCATTACAAAGATGATGATATGATTTTCCTTTCTCACTGATAGTCACTGATGAGGATTACAGCGCAGTGTGAGATAACATGTGGTGGACAAAAACACTAAATATGATTCACTGTGGGAGCTCCTGGTAAAATCATTAATTTTGTTGTTTCTTCGCATAGAAAATATATCTAGAAAATATTTAAATTTAGCTCTTGTAGCTTTTTGTGCTCCACCTGCACATTTCTTTATATATTTTTTTTTGTTAACACTACACCGATTAATAACAGATTAATAACTGTCATTTATTTTAATTTAATGAAATCTGTAACAAAACTTCCACAAATTACACAACTAAGACCATTGAACCTTAGAACATTGCTTATCCGAATATATATTTTTTTCCATTTTATCAAGTTATTTATGCTTGTTAAACTTTTAATATAAAATCAATAAAAAAGCTGTAGATTAATAGACAGTTCCTATCAGAAAAATAGTACAAACGTAAACATATACCCAGAATGATTGACAATTAGCAGGACAACTTTTTTGATGAAAGAACATGCTCCACTATACCTTTAAAGAAAGCAGATTGACCATTCAGTATAATATTAATTACTGTCTCATCTTATTTTGATGGATTACATTTCAAGTAAAAGCTGTGGTTCATTTTGTCTTTAATCGGCCCTTTGATACCAACATCAACCTGATTATTTGTTCTTAATTCCTGAAAGTTGTTGCCCCTGGTCTTTTGAACAGCACAAAGGCGTGCTTTAGTGTCTACCTGTCTGCCTTTTGACATTAGAAAACTCACCACCAGCAAGGCACTGTTATAACTCAACTTTTATTTATTTATTTTTGTTCTACTTGTGTGTGATTTCCAGCTGCTGTCGTACCAAATGAGTGAACCATCCGACAAGAAGAAGCTTGTTAATCCACTGTTTGGACGGAGACACATGGTTTAGTTTCTAGGAAAACATCTAATATTCTGCCCGTCTCAACAGTCCCCCTGCTTCCATCTCGTTTTTATTATCAGCTTTGCCACGAACTACTGCTTTGAACATGTGCTTTTCAAATAGGATTTTTTTTTTTTTTTTGCACAAAAAAATAGTTATTTTGCCTCAGTCTATATTTAGCTGCAAATGTAGAGAGGTATTTTTTTTTTCCTGAGTAAGTCTTTTACTGCTACATGATTGGTCTGACAGGTTGCTTTTTATGTTCTTTGTACTCTACTTTTAGAGAACCAGTGTCACGCTTCAAGGATGACAGCATCTACGCCGTCTCTCTACCTCAGGTGGACAGAGTTAGCCACGAAACGTTCAAGAGTCATGTGATGGTGGGTCAGGGTCAGGTGAGGGCGCTGTGCAGGGACGACATGCTGATGTACAGGGAGTACGTGAAGAACAGATACATGTAAAACCCAGATCACGACAACTGGAACGCTACAAAGGCTCTGACTTTTTGGTGAACTAAATGTTTTCTCTTGTAGCTGGTGTCAGAGTGTAAGGTATATACATCTCTCTTGTTAATGATGTATAGAAGGCCTTTATGCTGCTGAATTTGGTGATAAAAAATAAAGTCAGAAAACGCCTTTTTTTATATAATCTGTTTTAATAGATTTTGTTGTTTTATTTATATTAACCTGCTTTACAAGTCTACATCTAAGGAGCCCTTTAGTTGTTTTTTTGCAGTGTCTTTATTTTAATCAGATATTTATTTTGCAGTAGCTAAATATTGAGCAAATATGAATTTTTCAAATTGATTCTGAATCTCATTGAGTGCTTGCAGCGTCTCGTCCATCCTAATGTCTCCATTGGCGTTAATTGCAAGAGCTGCAAGAAGCAGAAAAAGGATTAATCTCTGTTGAATCTTTTTTCTTTCTTTTTTTAAAGTTGTATTGTGTTTTATCATTTTTTAAAATGCCTGTTTATTTTTTATATATATATTTAAAGATTTATCTGTTTTTCACCATATAAGGTAATGTTCACCAAGAACCATGGAACTACAGTAACTTACAATGTTGTTCTCTATTTTGTTTTTGTATAAACATATTCATGATATGTATGGAAATAAATTACCGGTAAAACACCTTTTTTAATCAAAACTAAATTAAGTAATTTTACCTTCAACTGTTTTTTTTTCCATACAACATTCACCGCACAGAGTAGCATTAAACATACCTGTAAACTTCACCATTCTGACCAAAACTGTTGACAGTTACCTTCATGCTACCTTCGATGAAGTCATCAGATCTTCCTCGATATTTTGTGCTAATGTAAGAATTATAAAGCTGTTAGGATCAATAAAATGAAAAACCTTTAATAAAGTTTAAGTACATAAACACCTTGAAAGTTTACATACCATCCACCAAAGACTGAAAAAATCAGCTGCCAGTAAAATATACTGTATATATATATATATATATATATATATATATATATATATATATATATATATATATATATATATATATATAAATTAACAAGTAAACAGGCCTGATGGAGCTCCTACACTTAAATTCTGTTGAGCAGCACTTTGAGTTCAGTCAGACTTCTGCACTTGTTGACAGGTATGTTGGTTCACTGCTCATGAGCAAGGTAGTCGAAATCATCTGGGAGAGTTTATTTTTAAGACTTTTTTTTTTATTATTCAAAATCTAGTTTAATTTAGTAATTATTTATTTATTCCTTTTTTTCAGTTTTGCATTACTTAAATCACTAGTGTGAATTTATAATTTTCTTTAATGGCGCGGTATGCAAACTTTCAAGCACAAGTGACGAATAGCTGTTAAATTAATAATTTTTTTAAAGATGGTGATCAAGCCAGTCTTGGCGTGTTTGGAAAATTTCTGTCCTCAAAGAGTAAAGTGTGTGTGCAATAATAGCCATTTGTTTGGCCTTGGCAGGACTCTTTTCTAGCATATGACCCCAAGACCCTCTGTTTGAAAACTACAGATTCTTACATCTTTTCAAAAGTTTCCCTAAAACACATTACCAGTATTCAGACAATCAAAATTATTCCAATAAATTACCATTATTTTATATATTCCGATGGAGATTAATATATTTGATAAGGTTCGGTGTTCATTCTCTTTTTATGTCTTGTTAGCTAATCAACCTTTATATTAATGTGATAATTATCTTATTATTATTGATTCTTTTAGGAATGTATTTTAACATCTTATCAAGTTTAAAATTGAATCTCTCATATTGTGATGTCCTTCTCTCTGCAAAAGATAATGCATGCTTCAGTGAGACATTGTCCCTGTCCAATTTGCAACACATTATGTTGTACCTTTCATGCAGCATTTTTAAGTGTTAATTTCCCCACACTATTAGTTCCTTATCCGCTTTCACGTTCTTATTGCCTTACACCTTGTTCCCTCTCCCCTCACACTCTTTCAGCTCTCAGCTTTCAAACACAGGTGTCAGAAAATGTGAAATGTTCCCGGTTGTAAACATTCAGCCGTCATTCAGACTGACCACCGGCAACTGCATTAGTGCCACGTTAGAGTGAGAGAGGAGGAGCAGAGAAGAGCATGGCTTTGGATGTGATCTACTAAATGAAAAGATTTACTTCTTCATTTCTGAAATTAAAATGTTAGAGGAATGGGAAAAAGAATAGTTGATCTGCATTCCAAATCACTGAAGGATGTTTAATTGCGATGAGCAAAGATTGAGTTACTGATGTCAGTAATCCAGTAATGACATGTTTCACCTGAAGTGACAAGAGCCTCTTGGTGGACTGAGAAGGCTTCTCCTTCCTCAGCGGAGATCTTTCAATGACTTTGGGTTGCGTCACAATCACAGGTTTCTCATGGATTCTTTGTTTGCTGCGAAGCAGTGATGTGATGGTGCATGCAACACCTTGGGTGTGACGCCATAACTCACACCATATTGTCTCCATTATCTGGGTATTAGATAAGGGACACATATCCAATTTCTTTCTCTAAACTGGTCTTCGAATACTAAAGCAGAAGCAAGGCACTGAATATTGTCAACACAGTAATTTGAAACAAATATAGAAATACTTTTAATCTAAAAAATATATATATATAAATATTAGCAAGATTATAAACATATCAGCTGTAAATTGTTCATGTTTCTTTTTAAAAAGGCTGCTTGAGAGGTTATCAATGGCACACAGCAAAATATATAAATCTAAATAAGTAAATTTTCCTTTAAAAAAGGGCATTTTTTAGGCAGGTAAGTGAGTCACTTTTTCAATGGATCAAGAAAATTCACATTTAAAATAAAAAAACATTGCATTGTCTTATTTTAAGTGCATATCTAATTCGAATAGTATTACATAATATGCAAATAATTTTATTTTAAGGGCAAAATACTCATTCTATAGGCAGATCATATTATTTACTATTAAATTTAAGGATAAATACGCTAAATGTAAGAAATTTTGACTTTTTTCTAGATCTTTTTGTAGTGAATGAATCTCCTGTGAAATGTTAAGTAAATTTTTCTTTAAATAAGTGTATTTTCTTTTGATTTGAGGAGGTAACAAAGACAAATGCCCAATAGAATTTGATGATTAATGTTTCAAAAAAAAAAATCTTAGTCTTATTTCTAATATCTAATTGTCTAATTTTAATTTTCTTATTTTATGGGCAAACATAATTATTCCATTGGCAGATCACCTTGTTCTTCTATAATAATAATAATTAATTTAATTTATACTGCACTTTTCACCAAAAAGGCCTCAAAGTGCTACAAAAAAAGCATTTAAAAAAGCATTAAAAAAGAAATACATAGAAATAAAATAAATTTAAAAATATATAAAATGAAAGAAAAATATAAAACAAAATAATAAAAGCTGTTTTAAAAGGGAAAAAAGAAACATCTAAGGGGGACCAAAAGTTTTGCTAAAAAGAAATGTTTTAAGGCCTGTTCAAAGTATGTAAAAATATCCTTATTTTATGCTCTTTTTATGCCTAAGATTTGGTGACTTTATCATAGTGGAAAAACTACAATTTCTGTCAGCATCCAGGAGACCAAGGAAAGGAGACCAAGCGTTGGTGGAGAAGCTTGTTCAAAGTAAACTGTTGATTACTCTGGAAAAGCAATAATAAATCATAGAATGTTGTAGTGGGATTTTACCTTAGTTGGCATGACTGTAAGAAACTGCTGCATGAGTCTGTTTGTGTACATGTTGAACTCTTTGACTATGAAACAGAACACTTGTGTAACCTTCTACACCATCTAATTCAACAATGTTTTTCAAAGAGAATCTGGGTCACAATTACTTCTTCGGGTAAAGAAAAGATCCTTGACATCAGTTTACTCCATTGCAACCCATTGGATCTTGTTTAAACACTAAAAAGACAAGGATTCCCTGAAAGCTTCAGGTCTTTATTCAAGGACATTTAAATAAAAGACTTTTAAGGATTTTTCTACCTATAACAATTAATTATGTTTGTATTTTAATCTCAAGTTTGATTTCCTACATATTTTTTGTTTGCATAAAATTGTTAAAATATGTCAAAGTGAATACAAATTTTAGCATTAAAGTTATAGTGGAGAATGTTCTTTTTCCGGGTGGATCATCAAAATAAGTGGTCCACATGAAGGCAGCATTAGTTTGTGAACTGCTGCAAACAAACTGTCCCTCAAGCACAATAAACTACAATTCAGTTACTATTGATGCTATAGGTATATCAAAGTTATAATGGAGGATGTTCTTTTTCCGGGTGGATAATAAAAATAAGTGGTCCTCCTAACTGTCAATCATTCTGGTGATATGCTTACGTAAGACCGTCCCACATGCTCATCCCCACTTTCACCTAAATGGTGGTGAATCTGACATTGGAAAAAATGCAAATCTTCTTTTGGAAAGTATGCTTGTATGATCGATGCGAACAGCAACTTTTAAACAGAGCGTGCACGAGGAGAAATGGGTTTGTGCACGCTCTTGCATGCTTTTAACAGGCGTCCCTCTCGGGAGTGGGTACCAGGTTGTTTATGTGCATATTTGTTTGTTTTTTTAGAGGAGAGGGTGGGTCTTTCCAAAAATGCGCTAAAATTCTCCACTATACTTTTAACACCTTTAAGGTAACAAGTTAGTAGGTTTCTGATTTCCTTCCTTAGAAAGATGGATATTTTCTCATTTTGTCACTTTACAGCCACAAACTGGTCTGTAACAGTGAGGTTAAAGGAATTTGGATGCAAAAGGATTTTTAAAAGTTTTGTCACCCTCATTTTCTTGTATGGATGTTGCTCTGCTGGAAGGCTGCATACATCTCATGTGTTTTGCAGCCTCTGACAGGCTCCGGGAGTCGTGAATTCCATTTTCCCATCAACAAGAACTTTCATGAATTGCTTTCTTGCCACTTTTCCATAAAAAGTCAAAATTTGTGAAGTTCGTGGCTAATGGTTATCAGTCCTGTTGAAAGTTTCTACTGATTGAGCTGCTGATTTCTGTAGTGCCTCCAGAGTTTTCTTGGGCTTCTTAACTGCTCCTGTAAGTAATGTTCTCCTCAGCCAACCTGTCAGTTAAGCTGACTGGTCATGTCTTTGCAGGTTTAAGTTTTGGTAAGGCCAAAGTATTTCTATTTTCAGGGGAAGAATTAAACAATAATGCTCAAGTTGTTCAGGGTTTGAGATGTTGTTTTAGAACCTGACCCTGTTTTTACAGTATATTCACATCCTGAGCTGTTCAATTGGTTCCTTGTTCATGATGAGTACTGATTGTACACGAATGTATGTATCTTCCACAATCTTCTTTGGCAATTACACAGATTTCCCTCCACTTGTGTAAAAAAATAAAACTTTAACACTGCTTACCTGCTGCTAGTACTCACATTAATCAAGCTTGTTTACAATTGCCTATTCGGGAGAACTCAGGTCAGGATGACATTTGCATACTTATCGCAGAACAGTGGGTCAGGCATCATTATGCGATGACATGACATCTCTTGTGAAATTGTGTGAGTTACACTTTGTTTTTCATAAAGTACAATTGCTTTTATTTTGTGAGAAGTAGGTCCTTCTAAAATTAAGTGTTACTTCTTTGTTGCGTCTCTATTTAGTTATGAGAGACAAGTTTTTTTTTTGCTACCAAGCCATTTACTGCCTCCCTCTGCCTTGTGTAATTTTTACATTAGAACCGTTCACCCATAAGCATTTAGGGATAAATCCACACCTGTGCTTTGAGTTGTCTCTTTATTTAAATGTTATTTGGGAGCAGGCCGGTCTCTTAACATTGACCTTTTCACTGCCTATTAGTGATATGCTTGAATTTTGCTTTTGTTTATCGCTGTAACTGCATTCCTGAATTGAGAGGTGAGTCACTGCCTTGTGTTTGCTTAGACAGGTGTTTACCCCCCTTTGTAGTTGTGCTGTTTCTTTTTTACACACTTTTGACAGCTGAGGCTCATTTCCCAAAGGAAGGATCTCTTGAGCAAAGGTAGGCTTTTACCGTAAAGGTCCCTATTTGTCTGTAATGGCAGACGTCTCATTATCCTGAAACCTCTCACAGAACACATGGGTGTTGGTGAATAAATGCAAGCAGCTACAGATATATTCAAGAAGCTTGTTACAGGCTGGCCTCTCTAGCAGAGGTTGAATATTTGGATCGAGCAGTTAAGTGTAATAATAGTCTAACCAGGCAGATAAAAATGACTCATGAATTTGTTCTATTTTGTTTGCATGGTCTCTTCTCGTCTCTTTGATATAGAATACTAGCCACTTCATGCCACTGCTAAACTCATGAATAACGACTCCCCTATTTCTGCAACCCCCAAGCTCAGACATAGACTGACTAAACAGCAGTTACCAGGAAACCAAAGCTGGTTTCCATATTGCTTTACTGCTGTTGAGACTCTCCTTCCGTCCCTTCTATTTGCATTCTGCATTTAAACAGAACCAAACACAAACTGCTTAGCTTTAACAGAAGCAAAGTGGAAGCAAATTCTGCAGTTTGAATTTTTGTGTTATATTTTCAAATGATCTTACTACAAGCAGGTGTCTGGTATTCTGGTTTTAATCCAGTGAAAAGTTAATCTGAGTTCTTCTAAAATAATTATAATCAGTAACCTTTACAATTCGAAGGGTAATTTTTGCCTTATTCCTACTACAGTAAACAAAATGTATCCAGAGTCTCAAAACGTATGTAAGGTTGAAAGACATGCTTGTTATATATAAAACAATTTGATACTGTTTAGAAAACTGGGAGAAAAAAAAAATAGTAAGATGTGTGACTCACAGATAGCAAAAGCTGGCTAGACAGGCAGGTATCCCAAACAAACACCCCTCTCAATGAAAGAACAACAAAAATAGTTAAGATGTCTACAAGCTTGATAACTGTGAGCCAGCAAGTTATAGTGTGGACGTGTAAAGAAGATAACACAAAAGCCAGGCCATATAACCTTGTTTTCATTTCCAACAATAAATGGCTTGCAATGACAGAAACACGATAACATGTATACCTATCTAAATAAGTACAATTTATTTATAAAGCACTTTTCACAGATAAAACACATGGGTATATATCACATACAGGAAATGTACAAAAGTATAAAATCCACTATGCAAAGTTTTCTTTAAAAAATTTCGGTTGACTTTAAAAATTGACCACGCAGTCAACCATACAGAGGGACAGAGGCAGTCCTGGAGCTACAGCCTTACAGGATAGATCTCCCTGAGTTTTAAAAAACTTTATTCTTACAACTTATATCACAAACTTTAGAATCAATACAGTAAGTGACTGTGAGGTTTTTTAATTTTTTGTTTTAAAATGGTAGTTAGACAGAATATGAGCAGTCTGAGCTATTCTGTGTCTTTTGGCATGCTTTTTTTCAGAAATAGTACATTTTTAGGTTACCAAACCAAATGTGTTTCCAAAGATTTTGCTTTTCTCACAAGCAGAATAGGGTTCCCAAAATCAGTAACAGAGTTTGCTTTGCAGAAAACCTGCCTGTAGCTTTTCTACAAAGCTGTTTGCTGGATTAATGTAACGGATGGACAAAGAGCCTTGCACTTTTCTCTCTCTCTCTCACTCTCCCCCTCCCCGCACTGTCCCTGCAGTTTAAAGCGTTCCTCACATGACTCTGTCATGCCCTGTCTACTCCTCCTCATCCACACCCGCCTCCTTACATTCACCTCTCTCCATCAAGCTGAACAGCAGCCAATGCTTCACGGTGCTCCTGCCCTGGGTGTTTGTCCCATGCCTGGGAAGCACAATAAGATTAAAGGCTTCACCTGAGAGGAACCAAAGGACCATTTTTTCCCCATATTTTTATGATCCAAGGTTCAGCTTGAGTGAAAATTCCACTTCATACATCTTTGTTGAAAAGGTAGGTTGTCTAAACTTTAAATAAAAAAGTGGATTTAAAAAAATATATATCATTAGGTTTAATTTCTGTTTTATTGTTGTTTCTTAGAGCGTTACTATAAATGTAATCCTTTAAATCACAATATGTATAGGAAACCCAGCAGAAGTAGTAAATTGGGATTATTTTTTCATTATTCAAATGAAATAAGGATGTTTTTATTACTATTGCAGCAATAACCACTACAGCACAGACTGCTTATTTAAATATTTAGAATATTGTTACTAGCTGAAATGTTGCTGGACTTTTTGAGACACGATGCTTTCAGGACCAAGGACAGTTCTTTTGCTTTTGTACTTTATGTACAGAAGTCCCAAGTTTGAATATACTTCTTAACTGTTTAACCTCTTAACAGCTTTCAACATCATAGTACAAGAAGATGTTTTGTCAAATATAAAAGATTTGGTCGAATAATTTACTAGAATGCATAATAATAAATTATGTTCAGCTATATGTCTCATAGCAATAGAGTTTAAGTTTGTTTCTTACTGAAAACATTTAGGAGCTTTTGATCATAGATTAAATGTAGAGACAGCAAAAAAATTAAAACTCTTGAAGGTTGATTTGAGTGTTCAAGACTGAAAAACCTCTGATCCTACTGTAACTGGAGGACATGTTTAGCTAAAAATGTTCTTGTTCTCAATATATGTTGGGTTATTGTTGGGTTAGGTTATTGTGCTCTGTTACATGTATTATTTTACAAAAGTTAAATGACTGAAAAAGTTAGTAAACCAACGCAGCAGGCTGAGCCTCCTCATATAACCTTATTTATTAACTTGCATTATTTAATCAGCATAATTTTACAGTAGTGAATTTGAAGAAGAATCAACCTGGATTTTATATTATATCATTTAAGTAATTATGAATGCTTGTATTGACTGTGTATTTCTGGTTAGAACTTAGAGATTTGTCTTTTAAAGTGTGCTGAGTTGACATTTGTTATGAATTAACAACAGCAATGTTCAAATTCCTAGAGAATGTTTGCCCTTTTTTAGCAGAATTAGTCATTTACAGCCCTGCATAGTATTAGCTAAAGGTTTATTTATGATAAAATGTTTCAGTCTGTCCTAAAATCTATCTTGCTCTTTGACAGTGTGTAGCTATGAACGAGTCACTGGTTGTGAATGACTCCTCTGCAGCTACAGAACCTGTCCCCTGGATGGAGGCTGAATCCCTGGACCAACACAACAGCAGCATAGAGTTTTCCACCGCTCCATTAGAATTTCCTATCAACCCATGGGACATCATGCTGTGCATGTCAGGCACCGTTATCGCCTGTGAGAATGCTATTGTGGTAGCAATCATCTTCTACACTCCCACACTAAGGACTCCCATGTTTGTGCTAATTGGGAGCCTGGCCACAGCAGACCTGCTGGCTGGCATGGGATTAATCCTGAACTTTGTGTTCCAGTATGTGATTTCTTCTGAGACCATCAGCCTCATCACTGTGGGCTTTCTAGTGACATCCTTCACTGCATCCATCAGCAGCCTTCTAGCTATCACTGTGGACCGTTACTTCTCCCTTTACAATGCCCTCACATATTTCTCAGACAAGACTTTGCAGTATGTGCATCTGATGCTAATCGTGACCTGGGGGGTGTCTCTGCTGCTGGGTCTGCTGCCAGTGCTGGGCTGGAACTGCCTGCATGAGCCAGCCTCATGCAGCATTGTCCGCCCCTTGACCCGAAGCAATGTCATGCTCCTAGCCACTTCTTTCTTTGCCATATTCGTGCTCATGCTGACCCTTTATTTTAAGATTTGCAAGATCGTATGCCGACATGCCCACCAGATCGCCCTGCAGCAGCACTTTTTTGCCACGTCCCATTATGTTGCCACCAAAAAGGGGGTGTCCACATTGGCCATCATCTTGGGGACTTTTGGTGCCAGCTGGCTCCCCTTTGCCATCTACTGCCTTGTAGGTGAGAGGGAGTATCCATCTGTGTACACCTATGCTACACTGCTGCCTGCAACCTATAACTCTATGATCAACCCCATTATCTACGCCTACAGAAACACAGAGATCCAGCGCTCTATATACATGCTTTTGTGTGGCTGCTTTCAGGCTAATGGGTCCTATCGGTCTCGGTCCCCAAGTGAAGTCTGAAAAGGTGCTTCTGGTGCGTGTGGAAGGATTTGGTTTGTGTGTGCATGTGTGTGTGTGAGTGTTTAGGGGTGTGTTTTTAGAAAAGAGAGAGCAAAAAAAAAAAAAAACAGACAATTGGCTTATAGCCGACTGTGAATGCTTTTCAAACACAAATGGGGCATGGATACTGTACCTGCACTTTAATATGTCTCAACACAAGTTCCAAGGAGAGGTTAGAAATGCAGTGAACAAGAATTCTTGTTATTAAAAAGGACAACAAATATGTGAATGTATTTAACTGAGGAATTAAAGAGGAATGGAAAATTAAATTTGCACTTTATTAAGTGTTTTTGTTTTTGATACCAAAGCAGTATTGTTCAACTTTGGATGTGTTTGAGCCTGTGTTCATCATGTGCCATGGTTTTTCTATTTTGTATTGTGTTGTCTTATAAGTCCATTTTGTATCACACAAATAAAGGAATAACGTTCTACTTTCTTGCCTTTCTGTGTCCTCACTAATGACAATTTCTTCTCTTCCCTGTGATCTGTTTTTATTTATTTTTGTTAGGTGGTTCTGTTTGAATAGACTTATAGCCTACTATAAAGGCAAGTCCTGATAAATAAATTAAAATTAAAAACCCAGATACATTTATATCATTTGCTCACGGGGCATGTGTGTGAAGTTTCTACTTAAATTTATGAGCTATGATTCAATCTACATACCCTTCAAATACAACAATAATCATTTTGGCTGTCTCTGTAACTCTTCCTATCTCTTCAGAACAGAGTTATGACTCAGGAGCAAAGCAGCAGCAGGCACATGCCTATGTGTGTGACAAAGTAAGGCCAGCAATGATTATAAGCTTTATGCCAGTTCTCTGCAGCCAAAAACATGATAGTTTATCTGGTAAGGTGTTTAGGCTGGTAGAAGTCAGTTATCGGTGTGCCAAAGAGAAGCAAAGGCAATGTTTTACCAGATAAATGTTTTTATTAGTTTTTTTTCCCCAGCTTTTATTGTCATTACACTGTCACACGTACAAAGCCATGAAATGAACTATCTGCATTTAACCCAACCCCTTGGGGAGCAGTGGGCTGCTGTTATGCGGCACGCGGAGAGCAGTGTGGGGTCAAGGGTCTTTGCTCAGGGAGCCAGGGTGGCAGTGGGGCTTGAACTCAGAACCTCTGGTTTCCAGGCACCCTAACCACTAGGCCAACTTGCACTTTATTTACTTAAATTTTTGTTTACTACTTTTATTTTGATATCACTAGTATGTAGGGTCCAGCTGTACATAATTGAATCTCTGTATAAATCCAGCTGTTCTTTGATTGCCTGGAAGTTTTATTAAGGAACATCGGTGAAGAAATTGCATCTTAAAGACCAAGAAACATAAAATTCATGTTAGGGTTAAAGCTCTGAAGATGTTTAAAACACCATTATATCCTAACATAATGTCCAAAATCTCGTGATTGGAGGAGATCCACAGTGCCTGGTCTGTTCTGAACAAAACATCCAAACAAATGGAATCAAACTGGCATCACACACGATTTTAAAACAGAAACTATTGCTGTATACTGTATTTAAACTCAGACTTCATATTGCAATCATTCATATAGCACCAGTTTTATCCTTATGTATGCCAAACAGAAAAAGGTTTGGTTGGCAATAAATTAAGTACAGTTGCAAAATCTACTTTTTTTATTGTTTTACCTCATTTTTAGACAATATCACCTCTACACAAATGGATGTACAATAGTCTTTTGAGAGATTTAGAGCATTTTAATTATTTTTAGGTTGTGAGTCACAGTGATTTAAAACCAAAAACTCCACTGACACAAAATCTAGCACCTGCTCATTCAAGCTGTTTCAACAAGGATTTGTGAAAACCGTGTCTGTTGTGTATGATGGGTTGCTCACATTCAAGCTGCAAGGAAATAGTTCACTTGGACAGAAGAAAGGAAGGCTTTCAAAAGAGTCAATACCAGAAATTACAGAGCTGAGCAACAATCCTATGATAAATGTCAAGGAATCCTTGTTGGTCTTTTAACAGTAGTCATTATCAGTACAATATTTGGGGGGCATGCAGTTTAAGGCTCCCTGTTGGAAAAGTGGTCAAAGCTCAACCAAAGTCTTTAAGATCTAATGCTATATGATAATAATAATTGAACATCATTGATCTCACAATAGAGAAATTAACTTTCTCCCTTTAACCCATTTCCTTGGGGAACAGTTGGCTGCCACAGTGCAGCGCAATCAGGGGTGAAGGGTCTTGCTCAGGAACTCAGAGTGCAGGCTGTGGGGATCGAACCAGGTACTTGCAACCTTTTTAGAGCGCTAGTGCACTGCTCTAACCACTATAGGCCAATACTCACCCACTATATTTAGAGACAATAGGGGGTCAGCTCAGATCAATGTTTTACTTTACTGACAGAACTACCTGCAACTCTACATGAGTTGATATGTCATATTAATAGTGATGTTTATATATGTATATAAATATGTAGAGCCCTACTTCCCTATTATTGCAAGGGATATTTGGAAAAACTAAATGAGATAATTTATGCGCCTTAGATATCTAAAGTAGGAATTTCTTCCAAAACAGGCATTTTTATTTGAAGAAAACAAAATGTATTGGTCATAAGGTATTATTGGATCGACTGGTTCTGGGCCCCGCGCTACCCTGAGACCAAGATTATCCCCGGTGTCGGTGAGGGTGGTCAATTGTAAGAAAAGATTGGTAGTGGTTTAAACATGGCGGTGCACTAGTGCACACAGGGAATAAAGACATGAGACCTCAGTAGGGAAGACCTGGGCTGGTCAACCCCCTATAATGCCCTTGTATGAATCAGAGCAGAAACTATGAGCTTGACTTTTTCCCCCAACACCACCGCCTTACCTCGTAGATTGGCTCCTGAAGACTGGTCAAATTTTAATATAAACACATTTCTAAAGCTCTGCAAAAAAAACATATCTAGTAGAGCAGAAACTGCTACAACTGAATAGGTGGAGAGGTCATATTATTCAACCTATTAGCAAACGGGATCTCACTGAAGTATTTTTAAATTGTGCTTGAAGGGCTAATTCCTTTTTATTGTTTTACATTTTGTCTTTGATGTTCTTTTTTTACCTCATGCAGACAGCTGTTTCAATAGCCAGCAATGACAAGTCTCTCTTTTGGGCCATCAGCTGAAATATATTGGTGAAGATTCTCAGTCATCCAGGTCATGGTCAAGCTTGAAAGGTTCAGTTTAGGCAATATAGGCAAACTTCACGTCCAGTTGCCTAAACTGAACCTTTCAAGCATCCGCCGTAATATTCTCCAGTTCTAAAGCTGCTTTCAGTCAGTCTGTGCCAGAACATAAAATAGGAGAAAGGTGAGAGATCCTGGAGGCCACTAATGGACCACACACTGAGGCCTGGCCACTTTGAGAGGAGACTGTTTGCTCACTTAGTTTTTTTTCTTCACCTCAACAGATGTCACTTTGATCACCCACCAAATCGGGCAAAAATAGCTCCTTTACAGTGCTATAAAAGTAACCAGTGGAACCGGCTGCTGTGTAAATGCAGTGACTTGTTAAACATGTTAAATCATTTTTCTAAATATAGTCTTTGTTACTACAAAGGGTCATAGTTTTAAATGACTGTGCCAAGTCTATGTTTTTTTGTTTTTTTAACCAGAAATGGCTAATTTGATTAGTTTGTTTCCTGTCATATCTGCCTTACACTTTTATTCTCCACAAATAGAGGAAGTTTGAGCTCTGGCAGAAATCTATATTTGAATTCTAAATGCAACTGAATGACCATTGATCCTGTAAAGTCATAAGTGCCTGCAGGCATGGTATGGATTGTAAAACATTTTTAGATAATGAAATAATATATATTGTTTCATATTTTCCTTTAAAAAAAATTATTTTAAAAAACTTTCATAGTTTATCATCTTAACATTTTTCAAATTATGTGTTTTTTTAAGCATTTTTAACCAATAACCTTAGGAATGCAGGGGAGCAGTTCAACACCGTAAGGTTGAGGTGGACAGCTTCTAGGTTAGGCCAGTGTCTGCCTCTATATGAGTTTAAACAGTGTCACATAACTATCTTGTTCACTAGTACGTGTGGTAGCCCAGATAATGATGCCATGACTTTGTCTGATGATTAATTCACAACACCAAAATAATTAAATATTACATTAAATATACTTTCAGGCACAGATGTGAATTTATTTTTAAGCATTTTTATAAAAACAATGCATTGTTGTGAGACATCATAGTAAAATCAAAACAAATTAGACAGGATATCAGGGTTATTTTCTATCCCTATATGTTTGGTTCATCCTTAGGTACAATTCTTAAATTTGTAAAATGCCATGTTAATATTCTCAGAAACCTTTTCGCATGTATAAACAAAGAGAGTTTCTATGTCTCAGGTATTAACTTGTTTTGATGTGAAACTTAAGTATCAGCCCTAAAACTCAAATTAAATAACTTGTTAAAGGGCTAGCTGATAGACGGAGTGAAACGAATGGAATCTTGTAAGCTTGATAACACCAGTATTAGGGTGGCAGCATCATGTTGTTTTGTTTGAAGAGGGTTTGGTGCAACACTAATGTGATAAATAAATTAAGCTTTTATTCAGGAAAACTGTTTTTTTATTTCAACTCTGTTGTTTCCAAAATAAAAAATAAATGAATAAAATCCAGACTTTTTTACATTAAATATTTTTTCATTATTATTATTTAATTTTTTCGTTAGAGAAAATCAAAGGAAAGCAGTATATGGATATAAATCATGGCATACGTTTTTGTTTTTTAAACCATCAGCTTTATATTAAAGTCATTTTCTGATAAAGGCTAGATGTTTTTCCACCTTGAGCATTTCTAAGACATCTCTACAAATAACCCAGTAAGATGCTCTTCCAATTCATTGTGTTGTATAATTCTGAAGGAGTGATTACCAACAGAAGTTTTCTCAACTAAAAGGCAGCGTTACTTGGTTCCTCTTCTTTTACCCCCAGTTGCCAACCATGTCTGTGGATGGTAACGGGCCTTCTTTTATGTCTCTTCTGTTTCATAACTAATATAGGTCCTGTAATTAGAGCAGCCTTTAAGCAGCTTTGTTTAAAGCCCTTTTTAAACGTTTATCAACTGTTAAGATAAAGAAAGGAGCACAGTTTTTATTATTATGCAACAGCTTATTGCCAATGACTGTAAAATCCACCATTACTACTCTGCAAATATTGCATAAATTAGACCAATGGTAGCTGTCTTTCAATTATGTAACGCTGGATCAGCTGAGACCTGCGTAGCTCTTTAGGCAATCACTGAAGTACATGGTCAAATGATTCCCTCATTATTACCATTAATTACAGGGCTGTAGTGTACACTCTCCATGGAAACATTACTATTACTGACTTAATCATTAGTTTGATGGAAAATGCTTAGGTGTTATCTATTGTGTAAGCCCTTAAACAGATGCACTTTAACCCTCTACTGGTTTCT